AAACAGAATTTTGTCTTAAAAATAGTACATCTTGTAACAAGTTATATGGACTATCTATTTCAAGATTTTCAAGTGTTTATAGATTTGTATCATTTTTTTAGAGAGAGAGAGAGCTCTCCCTTAAAAACCTATTCTTTAAACCCCAAACATCTGAGCAATATTACACACATCTCTTACAATATTTGAAAGGATAAAAACATCCCAAAAGGGGTTTAAAATGTTCAAAAAATAATAATAATCAAGAAGTAAGTCGCTCACTTGTAGTACTGTAGCACCATCAGAATCGGCTGGTTTTGCATCGAATTGGATATTCTCTAGCTCCATTTTGGTTCATTGGTCCCCTACGGTTTGGGACCCTTGGTTTGATCGGTGAGACCATCAGTTCTTGGTCCGTCTAATCGGTCCAGTCCTGTCTTCATTTCACTGGTTGCAATACGTATCTAACTGAGCACTAGTCCTTAGAGTTTGCTTTCTGCATTTATGATTTAAGGAAAGATTTTACTCGTTTCATGCAATACTATCATTTGGGTGCCTATTTAACTATATAGTTGATATATTTAAAGTCGCCATATAATTTCTCATTATTTTCAACCATGTCCTTTTGGGCTTACCCATTGCCCTTTTTGAACCCTCCACTTGAACCAACTCGCACCTCCTAACATGTATTGTACTAGGTCTACGCGGCACATGGCCAGCCTACCTAAGGCTACTTGCTCTCATCTTATCTCCTATTGGAGCCACACCTAAGTTCTTCCGAATGTACTCATTTCGCACTGGAACTTGTAAGGATGATGGGCATTGTTAACTAGGTACTATGTTGTCTGCTAATGGAGTCTGTCGAGGTGAGAGATGCTTTGGGTAATGGTATTCGAATGCTCGTATTTGATTTTATGCCAGTGTCTACATCATATGAGACAAACTTGATAGTCCTAGGATACTTGTGAGTAGAAATGACAAAATTATAAAAAAACTTAAATTTAAGAGAATCTAGAATTTTGATTATAAAATCGATTACATAGTCCAATGTGACCAAAATGTACACATGTTTGGTAGATAACAAGACATAATGTTAAGGGGATTGTTTTAACCCTAAAGTCATTGTTTTGTTCGTAGAGGGATCAACTTTAAATAAAATGATATGGAGCTTAAAAAATGCTCCAATTCTACTATGTTCCTAGATTGACTTTGAGTTGTCCATTTGATGGATGGTCAAATCTAGGAAATCACTTTTTTCTTTGAAATTGTCCATATGATGCATCACAGATGATTTGAAAATTTAAGGTTAAAAGAAAAATAAATAATCTCCTACCATGGTTTTTTTGCATGAAACACACATATTTTGGTGGTGCAGGACTATGCTAGTACCTGCCTGTACATATTATATATGCTATGTGTGTGAGTATCAATATGTCAGATAAGGGTTATCGTATTTGTGGTCTCGGATTTTGAAAATACTAATTTGAATCCCTAATCCCCATATTTGTTTCCATATCTGTATCCATATCTGGGCATCTTGAGCTTTGGGGATTGGATGAAGGATATGAACTCTGAATAAATTGAACCATTTAAGAAGAAAGATTGCCTCCATTGTGCTAGAGAAGTCTTTTGATTTTCCTTGATTTCTTTTCTAGGATAAATGACCATGTTTTGTTTTACAAGGAAATATACATCATATTGTATCGCATCATGAGACATAGACATTTATTTGCAACACTTTGATGTACACGTCTATAAGATTTAGAAGGGAAACCTTGAGCTACTTTTGCATCCGATAAATCTTATTTGTGGACTTCTTGTAAAGAGACGAAAGGTTTGGTCTCATATGCATGTAAATTACGCAACTTTGACGAGCTTAAATCTGACGCATGTTGTATCACGAGCTCTTAATGGATCGTAGTAGCTGTGAATGTTTTCGTGTTTCCCATTTCAAGTGATCCCAGCATGGTTGACTGGTTTACTCACGTTATGGTCCCATCCACAGTTCCATCATCCATGGTGGATGAGTTGGTCTTTCCATTTATTGTGTTTGATTACCACTTGAACTTGATGGTTAGTGTCTTGATTTGTTGGACTGGATGCCCTTTTCATGCATAGTGATAATGGGAGGCTCGTGAGTGATTTTAATTTCTTTTTGCCTTTTTGAACTTTTGTTATGTATGGTTAGTAGTTTGATTGTTCTCTTGAACCTTGCTTTCTTTTTTGTGGATATGCTTTGTACTTGGTTTAGGGATCATTTGGAATCAAGACTTTAGTTAAATTTGCATATGATATTTAATATATTTGGTTGCCTTTTAAGCAACCCTTTTCTATGAGATGCAGGTGTCATTTAATGAGTGTCACATTTTTGAACTTAGATGATATATATGATGCCTTATGACTTTTATCTACTTTTCAGATTGGGCATGTGACAAAAACTGGAGATATAGCTGGACCTCGCGTTTTGGAGCATATTGTAGACACTGTTTTGTATATGGAAGTTAGTATCTTGTGTTTTGATAGACTTGTTCATCTTTAATCCTTCGATGATTGTATATTATTCATTTCATAAAATTGAGTAGATGGTTGTGTTAAATTTAAATATGCCGAGATGTAAAACATTTTGTTTTCAAATGCCATAAAGAAAATTAGATTGTTTTATTGAGTCTATCGTGTTCTGTATGAGAGTATATAGAAACCAATACTCTTATACTTGGAGTACAATATGAACAAAATACATGACAATACACCAGTGATTCAAAAAGCGGACTGCCCAGCACTTAGGCAGTTCAAAGTGCCTGGGTGCATCACCCAGGCCTAGGCGGCCTATCTGGGAGGTCAACCCTGGGCGGTCACCTAGGCGGTACGGAACGCCCAAGGCTTGTGCCCAGCCCAAAGGCAGAAATTTTTTTTCTTTTTTTTTGTTTTGATTTTTTTTAAAGATATAAATGATCAGAAGAAGGGGTTTTAGGTTCATTTAAAACCTAAACCCACAAGAACCCCTTTTAGAGAGAAAGAAACCTTCATAAAACTACATTTCATTGGATCAAAGTGTTTCTCAAAGTTTGGAGTTTGAGCAATCAAAGTAAGTACAAAACTTTATTTTTTTGATTGCTTGTTTTATTTTGAGATGTCTTCTTCAAGAGTTAGTAGGAGTGGAGATCCGGGTTGGATGCAATTTTTGTGAAAGATACAAAAGGAGGCATAAACCGGTTTAAGAAACATTTTATCGGTATTAAGGGGAATATTGCCCTTTGTAAAAATGTTCCTGAAGCTATCAGAGAGGAGATTAAGCAATATATAAGTTATGTAAAACAAAAACAAGAACAAAATCCTTGTCATAGATCTATTTCTGCTACTTCTAGAAGAAGTGATCTGGGTTGGAAGTATGGGTACAACCCAAAACCAAATGATAAAAATTGTATAAGATGTAATTTTTGTGAAAAAGATACTAATGGGGGTATTAGCCGATTCAAAAAACACCTTGCTGGTGTTAGAGGTGATGTTGCTTCTTGTACAAAGGTTCCTAAAGGAGTTCCAGATGAGATTAGACATCTTCTGAATTTAGACGAACCAGAAAAGGATGAAAATGAGCTTTGTTCTATGGAAGTATCTTCTCCAGGTTCTTCTAGAAGTGGTGATCCGGGTTGGAAGTATGGTTATGACTTGAATCCAAATGATAAAAATCGTATTAAATATAATTATTGTGGCAATGATACTAATGGGGGCACTTACCGGTTTAAAAAACACCTTGCTTGTATTAAGGGGGATGTTGCCTTGTGTAAAAATATTCCTGAGGCTACTAGAGAGGAAATTATACAATATTTGAGTTCAGAAGCACAAAGAAAAGGGTAGAGCAGCCAAGACTCCTAGGGCCTCATCTGCACAGACTGTGCATACTAGTAAGAGGAAGGTAGAAGAAGAGGAGGAGAAAGAGCCAGATTCAGAAGAAACAGAGGAGGACAAGCGTTAATTTGAAGAGGGAGATGACTCTGATGATGATGGCCTCGACTCAGATGCATATGATGAGGCTTGCCCTATTGATATTCCTTCATATGATGATGATGATGATGACGACTGAAGACTCTTGCCGCTTGGTGCTGAGTGTTGAGTGTTGACTTTTGTATCCTAGACTGTATATTTTCTAAATTTCTGTGTATTTTTGTTGTGTTGAGTGTTGACTTTTGTATCCTAGACTGTATATTTTCTAAATTTCTGTGTATTTCTGTTGTGTTGAGTGTTGACTTTTGTATCCTACACTTGTATGGTTTTACAGTTTACTGTTTTAACAATATGGATTATCAAAATTCTCTTTTCGACTTTTATCTTCTTTTTTTTTTCCAACTTGGGATATGGTATGTTTTTTTCAATTGGGCAGCCGCCCAGGTTCTGGGCGCCCGCCTAGGCGTCGGGCGGCCTGGACCACCCAGGCCGCCTAGGACCCGCCGAGCGCTTTTTGATACACTGCAATACACCTTGAAATTTTCCAACACACTTGAAATACAACTTGCAAAATGAAATTACAGCAATGTCATTGTAACTATAGTGAATTACAACAATGTCATTGTAACTACAGTGAACAATTGACTTCAAAATACGTCAAACATGAGAGGATACAACTCAATTATGGTCCCTTGTACATTATCAAAACAAGCTATACAAGGAGATCATCAAACTGCACATGTATAGGGTGCTGTTGAAATTTTTGCACCACTCAAATTTACAAGCAAAATTATACATTAATAAACTCCCTAAAATTCAACACAACATGATCTCCATTATAACAACATACATATGCTCAAGTATGCATTGCACTATGCCCATGGGAAGCCAATCAGAGCTCTCGGGTGCCTGGTTTACGCCTTTTGGTCTTAGCTATGTACCAATGGGTGACATTCGGTGACATTGCAAAATCGGTGAAATTTATCATCTAATAAGTGGGAAGCCAAATATCCACTGATATACACTTAAAACATGGAATGATTTGTAAAGATCTAAATATCAAATCAAGTGAGAAATTCATGAGAAAAAATGGGGCTCTTAAAGCACTAAACCGGTTCAATCGAGTTCACAATTCGAGCCACAAAATTTTGGCATAGTCTCTTCTTATAAAAACAACTATTCAAGGGATCAAAATGAATATCTAAGTGATTGATATGATCATGAAAATCTCAATCAAAATTGCTCCAAATATCAAAGGGAAAATGCTCATGGAAATTAGATCAAAATATGCATGGATGATGCCTTCAACTTTATGGATCATGAGGGATCAAAATGGATTCAAATGATCAATGATCGAATCATCAAATGATGAAGATAGCTTGCTGTAATTGAAAATTGGCAGCAAGGAGAAACAATAACAATCAATGAAAATGGAAGAGATCTTACTCAATTGTTGAAGGTTTGAAGACTAGATTCCATGGCTTGAATTTTTTTTCACCATTAATGGAGTAGTGAAGAAGCTTCAATGGAACTTTCTCTTACCTTAACTTGAAGACAACTCTTTAGAGAGAGAAAGGAAGAGAAGTGGCTTGGACGTGCCACTCTATGAGTGGAGAGAGAGAGAGCATGGCATGCCACTTTTCGAGAGAGAGGCTGAGTGTGAACTCATGTGAAATGAAGGCTTGAAGGGGTATTTATAAGCTTCTAATCCGTAAGTGTAGAGATGCTTCTAGATTGATGAATCTTGGCCCTCCATGTCATCATCCAATGACTACAAAAAGAAGCTTGATTCTAGCCCCACCATCCACCATCATGCCATCAAGATGTGTGGTATGGATTTAAACATCTTTATCCTCCTTTAATTCACTTCAATTTTCCTTGTTATCAAAATGCCCATGCTCTTTACATTTAATAAAATCAAAACCAAGATGGAGGGTATACCTTTATGATAATTTGACAATATTCCAACAAAAACCAGATCTTAAAAAGTTTTTTCCATTTTATAAGAGCACGTGGGGCTAATTAAAACATTGCCACATAAGCTAGGTAATTGATTGCACATTCCATATACTTTTAAGGCTAGGCTTGTAATTACAAACCCTATACCCCTTCTAAAAACCTCCACACATGTGCACAAACCCCTTGCTTCAATATTAAACATGTGCTAACTAAAATAAATTTTCCAAAATCATGATATCTCACAAAAATCCAAATATCAATGCCCCTCACTAAATCAAACAAATAACAAAAGGACATGGAGGGGTCCCCTAAGGGGTTGGCATCACCCCCATGTCATCCTCCACGTGGGGTGATGTGGGGCCCCCTAGGCCTCCACATGGACACCCATTGGCCGTTTGGGTGTCCCATATGGGTCTCGGGGGACTGTCCTTGTCTTCTAAACAATTTCAGAAAATGAATTTTCTTTCTCATAAAATCCAAAAGTATTCTAAAAAATCGACAAAAATCATTTTAATGATATTGCATCAAAATAAATCGTTTTGACATTTGTTTAAAAACAAATACAAGGGAAATTAGGATCCTTAGAGTTGAAATACAAATCAGAGCACTCTACTCGGCTAGACCCGGAATCAAAAGCCACTTTTTTAGTATGACCCAACAGACTCATGACCCACAATGTATAATCAAGGGCTCATGATCTTAGCCTATCAAAGTCAAATCAATGAATGACCTTGAATCCCATGTATTAGTGTATTAGTGAATCCCATGTACTACATTGATCAACTCATGCTTCACTGAAAGGATCTGACTTAAAAAGAATAGATCTTGTTAGGTTGGTCCTGTTTGAAAACCATTGTGCCTTCTATGGGCATGTGAATCCCATGAAGTTTCTTACTATTGATCTTTTCTCTATTTCAGATGTATGTCACAACTAATTCTTAGTTGATTTTCCTTCTACACTGTTTATAAAATAAATTTCTGCCTAGGTTTGTCATCTTTCTAACTTACATATAGTGTCCTTTTCCAGGGGGAGAGATTATTGACTCATCGTTTGTTACGGTCTGTGAAGAACCGTTTTGGATCCACTGATGAGGTATTGTATACTTAGTTCCTTTCTCTGATATGGTCATATCTTATGTTTTGGTTGTCAGATGGATGTGTTATATACTGTATGTTGTGCATTATGCTATATTATGCATATGCAAGTTGCAATCTTTATATGGCTAAGCACGTGGACTGTTTCATTCTGAAGATCACCTGGCCTTGTCATCCTCTTGCAATTTTTAAGATAATGATTTGGAGCCAATATTGGGAGAAGTTATGAGACCTTTATATAAATGTTACAGTTTCCAATCTAGCACTGGTCATATTTGTACATTATTTCATTTGGAGTTCGCATATTCTATCAATACCATTTTATTGATGTATAGAGAATCTTTGGTGATACTAATGCAATGTGAAACTAGAAGTTTGCAACAAGATAATGAAATTGATTCCTATTTATTTAAAGCAGAAAATTATACGTATAGTCGTAGTAGAAAGAGAAAAAGAGTCCTTGCACATGTAGTACGTGATACTTGGTAATAAAAACCGATTGATACCTTGGAAACATTACATTACATGGAACAATGTGTATGTGTGGCCACACACATGTTCTTGCATGCATTTGGTTTGGACATCTATTTGGGGATGATAAATTATACATAAGATGTATAGAGGACATTTCAAAACTATTGCATGCTTTATATTGCTTATTCATTGATCGTCATCATCCGAGCCATATCCCAACTATTTGGGGTCGGCTACATGAATTTTGTTTCTCCATTCCGTTCTATAAAGGGCCAAACCTTCTGTCAAACCCTAGGTGACCATATCTCTTCTCAGTACGTCCATTCGTGTCCTTTTGGGCTTCTGGTTACTCTTTTAGAGCCTTCCACTTGAACCAAATTACCTCTCCTAACCGTTGTTTTAGGCCAACACTGCACATGGCTAGACCATTTAAGTCTACTTTTCCTTATCTTATCACCTAATGGAGCTATCCCTTAGTTCCCTCAGATGTGTTTATTCTAGATTCTATCCTTTCTTGTCTAGCCACTCATCCATCTCAACATCTTCATCTCAATTACACTCATTTGATGGATATGTTGGTTTCGACCGCCGAACGTTCCATCCCCTGAAGTATGGCTGGTCTTGTAGCTGTCCTATAGAACTTCCCCTTTTGTTTCATTGGTATGCGATGGTCAGATGAGACTCCAAAAGCACATCTTCACTTCATCTACCCAACTTTAATTATGTGTCCGATATCTTCCTTAATCTCTCCATTCTCATGGATTATTGGCCCAAGAGATCGAAAATAGTCTCTTTTAGGTACTTCTTGGCCATCAAGCTTAAGTCTTAACTGATTCTTTGTTTCTACTCCTATTATTACTTAACTCACATTCTATTTGTTTTATCCAAGTCCGGCTAATTTAGGCTATGTTTGACATTCAAATATCTGAATATTTCAGAATTTTAAGTGATTTCAGAGAGTTTGAATACTGAAAGAGAAAATACACGTTTGATAGGTCAAAATTTATCCTCAAATGTCAAGGTAAACCCCTCAAATCTATATTTTCCAAAATTCAACTTGTACTTGAATTTTGTGGGATACATCTCTCTCTCTCTTTCTCTCCAAAAGCTATATGTTCACGAGTTTTTCTTGGTCCTCCCTCTTCCATCCCTCTCGTTAATGGCTTTGAGCCTTTACTGGTTTTAAGCCTCTTTCCAACATAAGAATCCATGGATATCAACAGCCGTAGTTCATAGAGTATTTTGTGAAAGAAGGTAGAGAGTCTCACAAGGGATTCTCTAATTAATGTCATCGTGGAGGCCACTTCTCATCCATCACTCTTCGCCTACTCTGAAATATTTTCTATTCCCAACATTTCTGAGTATCAATATCTTCGTGGTTGATTGGGTTGAGAGAGAGAGAGAGAGAGAGAGAGAGAGAGAGAGAGAGAGAGAGTACTAGTCGTGTACGGAGAGTAGTAGTAGTGACTAAGTTAGGTTTAAGTTTTAGGTTTTTATTAATTAAAGTTAAACGTAAAGTAGTAGTTACGTTT